TCGGGGGGGACCCAACCTTCCTCCCCCCCTTCCCCTTCTCTGGCAGTGACACCGGATCGGGACAGAGAGACCCTGGTGGCATGTGGAGGGAAAGGACACCGTCATGCTTCCTGCAACGCGAGACCCCGGGCAGGAGCCAGCCCCGCAGGGCCCCTTTGCCCCATCCCAGGCAGGCAGCAGGGGGAGGGACCCCTGCATCCCTGCTTACCCCAAATCCAAACACAGCGAAACCTCATTTCTCTCACCGAGCACCTTGCCTCACTGCCCTGGGCAGTGTGGGTCCCAGCCAGCCACCCATTCAAGCCCTGCTTGGAGCAGGAGCACCCTGCTGTTTGGGTTTGGGGTGCCCCATGAGAGCTCCCACACACTGCGCTCCACGCAGCGAATGACCAGGGACCGCCTGTGCCTCATGCTGCCTCGCCACCCCCGGGCAAGGCAGGGCTTCCCCGGCTCCCGGCGCGATGGCACACGTCTCGGCACCTGGCCCTGGCCGCCCTCGCCGGGGGCTGTAAATCTGGGTGAGCAGAACGCAAGCGACACAGCACGCTGCTTCCCGGCTGCAGACCAGCTCCCGACACGGCACGCTGCTTCCCGGCTGCAGACCAGCTCCACCGGCTTTGGCCCAAGGGTGCCTGCATCAGTGGAGCATCACCGGCGAGGAGAAGATCCCAGGATCCCTCCGGCTTGGGTGGCTGGGGCAGGCGGGAGCGGCATGCCCTGCTAGACCCACAGCCAGGCTGCAGAGCAGCTGAGCAAGCCCCAGGGTCTCTGGGGGCTGGGGGAGAAGCCCATGAGAGGCTTGGGGGGCTCTTCCCTGCCTGTGCTGCCCTGCGGGCAAAGGGCTGCTCTGTGCCCTGCCTGTCCCCCCCAGTCCCAGGGGCAGAGCCCTGGCCCAGCCAGCCTGGGTGGGGCAGGGAGGGAGGTGTTGTCCCTCCCCAGGGCAAGCCCTGGGGACTGTCCTCGATGTCACAGGGCCACCTGCTGGAGACAGCCCTTGAGATCCAACACCCCCGCCCCTCCGGGCCCTGGCCGGTCCCGCAGCCAAAACTGGGGTTCGCCATGCTGGCCTCTCCATCAGGGACCCCCCAGCCCCGTCCCCATTGCTTGCAGCAGCACCTGCCTTGCTCCTAAAAATGCCACCTCCTGCCAAGCCCACTGCCCTCCCAGGGCTCTGCTGCCTGGCAGCGGGGTGCGGACCCTCCAACACCTCCCGGGGCAGAGCAGCCCTGAATCTCTCTCCCCCGTGGGATGCTCGACTCTGGGTTCCCCGGCTGCATCCCCCATCACTGGGGTGAAGGAGCTGAAGCCAAGACCCCCACACCCTGACCACAGGGAGGGGGGCACATGTGTTGGGGGGAGAGGGCGTAGGGGGCAGGTTGAGGCTGGAGGTTGAGCCTGGGGCAGGGGCAGGTGTGGGGTGGTGGGGCTGATGCCTGTGGGGTGCCGGGGAGGAGGTGGATTTGGGATGAGGGGGGCTCTGCTTGCAGGTCGGTGGCAATGGCGGGGACGTTTGGCGAGGTCCCAGGCAGGTGTGGGTCTGAGGCAGGGCTGGCCCGGGTGAGGGCAGAAAGGGGGCGGCTGTGGGGCTGAGAGCCACCCGGGCCATGGTGTGAGGCCCTGGGTGGATGGGGGGGACAAGGGACGGTCACCCAGAGCCCCTCCAAACCTGCTCACACTGCCCCCAGCCCCAGCAGGGCTCCCCCACCCAGCGCAACTGGGAAACCCACCACCACAGGCAGCAAAGTGCTCTGGGGCACCTTCAGTGTGAGGGACACACATGTTTTGGGGGGACCAGCAGCCTAGGGATAAGACGGCTCCCGGGGGTTCTTGCCCCCCCCATCTCCCACCCCCGCGATGAGGCCCCCCC